AGAAAAAAAACTTTGCTTAACACAACTTCACAGGAAGGCTTACGCAGTTTCAATCACAGGGGCAGTCCGACTAAAGTGGGACATTTGCAAAAGGCTTGACCCACATTACTGGCAATGACTCCACTGTGATAGAATCCGATCCACGTTTAAAATGGGATCTGAATGTGTGCCAGTCAGTGTTGGGGATCAATAGCATAGTCCTTTTCCTCGGAGAGCTGCCCATCTGGAGTCCAGCAAAAAGCTATGACACAACTTAGGATCTGCAGTTACTCAGTCACCAGTCCCCACAGCAGCTCAGCACAGCTGGCTGGGCTAAATCAGGGCTGGGATGGAGTGGACTGGACTGGACCATGAAGATGGAGGAAGTTTGGAGACATGGAAAGGAAGGAGAAATCTTTTCAGTTAGATGAGAAGATCACATTGCTGGAGATGGGAAACACCTGGCGGGGTCAGGGCCAGCCTCATAGTAGACCGAATTAGGGAGGCTGAGTCTGAGAATGCAGACAAGGACAGCAGGAAGCCCTTGGAGGCTCTTGAGCTGGTGGTGGATGGAAGGAGTGGTGGAGATCAGACCCAGAGAGGGGGGAAGGAGACCGTGCTCTGATCACACACCTGGGCACACTGGTGTGCAGAGAGGGCCAGGAAGGACAGGTGAGTGGACTGCAGGTTGTGCTCAGCTACTCCTTTGGATGTGGAGCTGTCTATAACCTTGCCTTCCTCCTACACTTTCCCCCTTTCCTCTCCATCCTGGCCCCACAATTGGCATGCAAGCCTTCCACCCCACTATCCAGGTTTCCTGACTCTTGGCTACTTGTGCACCACTTCTCAGCTTCCTTGGACCGCAACTTGCCCTCTCCAGTACCCTCTTAAGTTTTGTTCCAAAACACCCCTAGGGTATCGTGGTGTGTGTGTAATTCTTGCTGGTTCTGTTCATGGGATTCCCTGGCAATTAGTTCCTCTGGATAGAAATGAAGTTTCCACTGAGATCCTGGGTATGTGGGACTTCTGGCTTGTCTTGCCCAGAGTAAGAGGTTGATTAATGGACTACTATTGTGTTCTCTTCTTTATTTTTAAAAGATGTATTTAATTTCTGAACGGCAAAGAGAGAGATCTCCCATCCACTGGCTCACTCCCCAAATGATGTTTGCAATAGCCAGGACTAGGTTAGACTGAAGCCAGCATCCTGGAATTACATCCAATCTCTGATATGAGTAGCACAGGCCGAAGTACTTGAACCATCTTCCACTGGCTTCCCAAGTGTGTTATCCGGGATGGAGGGAGCTAGATTGGAAGTGGAAACTCCAGGATTTGAACCAATATTCTGATATGAGATGCTGGCATTGTAGTTTAACCTACTGTGCCACAACACTGGATCCTTTTAATGAGCACCAAGGATTGACCTCACAGAGCCAAGGGAGATCATGAAAAGAGGGATGTGTAGGTGGCTCCCTTTGGGATATTTTTTTGTGTTACCATTGAAGATCATTCTTCTTTACAAAGTGGTTGCCAGAGCCAAAGTCCTACAACAGAGAAGTAGCTTTTTTTTGAAAGTCTGCAGTTGCTGGAGAGCAACCATGGCTTAGTTCCTCTTGAGCCCCAAGCCCCGCCAAAGCCACCAAAAAAAAAAAAAAAGCCCAGGAAACTGCAGGTTCCGCCTTTGGAGAAAAGGGAAGCAACTGCCCAACTGTCTGTCCTGCTGGTCACGCACTTGTTCTGGAGTTTGCATTCTGCAGTCCTCATGTTCCCCAGGGTGACTTCAGCACCTTTTCCTCCTCTTTCGCATTGAAACTTAGCCTGGGTCAGCCATAGCTTTCTGTTCCTGCATCAGAGCAGTGCACAGTCCCACTGCCTGGGAGGCACTCCAGAGGGATGGCACAGAGCAGAGTCCACTCACCTCCAGAGTCCAGCCTCAATGTCAGGCTCATGAATGAAACTCATGATCCTTGCTAAAGCACCAAGGTTTTTGTTTTCTTGAGATTTACTCTACTTATTTGAAAGGCACAGTTAAGAGAAAGAGATCTTCCATGTGCTGGTTCACTCCCCAGATGTTTGCAGTGTCTAAGGCTGGACCAGGCTGAAGCCAGGAGCTTCATCTGGGTTTCCTTCAGATGGCAGGGGCCCAAACACTTGAACAGTTTTCTGCTGCTTTCCCAGGTCATTAGCAGCATGGCAATGGGATGCAGCTATTACAGGCAGCTTAATCTGAAATGCCACAACACAGACCCCTGGGTTTTTTTTTTTTTTTGTGGGGGGAGGTGGCAGGAGGTGGGGTTGTTTTATATGTGGAAGAGTGGCTTCTGGGATGGGGGTCGTGAAGTATCGATATCTGTAACCCTGGGGGCTGCAGGCCTAGATTGTAGTGGCACTGGGAAAGGGCCTTCACATCTGCCTGGTGGCTAGTACTTGTCTCTGGCCCAAATCTCCCTCTACCCCAACCCAGTCCTCTTGACTTTCATAAGAAAGGATTTTTTTAAAAGAGAACTTTGTCTTCTTTGCTCCTATCTATCCTTGAAAAGCAACTATCTGGAAGCTGCTAGAAATAAACCAAAGTGGCAGCAGGTATTTAGCCTAGTGGTTAAGATGCTGGTTGGGATGCCCACATCTCATGGGGGGAAAGAGTACGATTCTTGCACACTGGAATCTGATTTGGGGCTGATGTGCACCCTGGAGGGCACTGCTCCTGGTTCAACGGTTTGACTTATGCCACTCCCAGGACAGCCCAAGATTGAATGCCAGGCTCCTATGCTTCACCCACCTGCTCAGGGACCTTGCTGGCATTTGGTGAGTGAACCAGCAGATGGGAAAACTCTTTCCCACTCTCAAATAAGTAAATACAGCAGTATATAAACATTAAAAGAAAACAAATGAAAGAGAACCAGCATATGCATATTGGGATCCAAGATAAGGAATTACAAAGCCCTACGTAGAACTGGATCCTGGGAGGACTTCCTCAGGAGAAGCCTGGAAGAGCAGCGCCTCCATCCCCATATCAGCCCCAGAGTCCAAAAGGCAGAGGCCACGGAGAGATTTCTAGATGTGAGAGAGGTTTATTGGGGAAAATCTCTGGGAGAGAAAGTGGGAAGGAGGCTGGAGAGGAGCCAGCCCGCACCAGGATTGATCTGGTGAGGGAGAGGGCAGGGCAGGCGTCACTGGGTCTCTGTGGGAGGTCAGAGGAGTTGCTTAGGTACTGGTGGGGCAGCCCGGGGGTGCGGTGGGTTCAGGACAGTCAGAGGGACACTTAGCCTGGCAACCACGCCCCCATCACTCACTTCTCCTGCAGTTGGCAGGTGTGTTCTACTGCCTGCTGCAATCCTATCTCCTCTCCCCTCCCCCTGGGCCCTCAGATGAAGAGCTCAGAAATCCAAGTCATAGGGGTGGCTGCTGCGGTGCCAGCTTCCCCCATCAGAGGGCTGAGTTGAGTTCCAGCTCTGCTTCTGATCCAGGTTCCTGCTACTGAACACGCTGGGAGGTAGCAGGTGACGGCTCAAGTACTTGGGTCCCTGACACACAGGAGACCTGGACAGAGCTCCTGGCTGTCAGTTTCATCCTGGCCTAGTCAACCCTGGCTTTGGGAAATGAACCAGCAGATGGAAGATTTCTCTCTCTTCCTTTCTCTGCTACTCTGCCTTCCAAATAAATAAAAATAATGAGTAAATTGCATAAGGGATACAAGTTAAGTGACATTCCTCCCTCCCCCATTTGCAGCTATTTATGGATTCATGCAAAAAAAAAAAATCAAAGCCACCTTAACATGTGGATGGAATTTTTTTTTTTTTAAATTTCTGCAAGGACCATTGCTCTCTTCTATAAAGTTTCTGAAGTCTGACTTGGCTAGGGTTGAGCCTAGGTCTTCTGACTCAGGATCCAGAGCTCTTTCTGCTCCCATAGTTACTGATTCACACACTGTATGATTTCCTTGACTCGAGAATCTTAGTTTTGGCAGGTTTAACAGAAACTTTTTTTCTATGCATGAGAAATTCTGATGTGATTGAGACATGAAACCAAGAGGAAATTTTTTCTCCTTGTCTTCTTTCATCCTCTTTCATTTTCTATTTTTTTTCTTAAGATTTATTTATTCATTGGAAAGTCAGATATACAGAGAGGAGGAGAGACAGAGAGGAAGATCTTCCGTCCGATGATTCACTCCTCAAGTGAGCGCAACCGCCAGTGCTATGCCAATCCAAAGCCAGGATCCAGGAACTTCTTCTGGGTATCCCACACGGGTGCAGGGTCCCAAGGCTTTGGGCCGTCCTCGACTGCTTTCCCAGGCCACAAGCAGGGAGCTGGATGGGAAGTGGAGCTGCCGGGATTAGAACCGGTGCCCATATGGGATCTGGCGCATTCAAGGCGAGGACTTTAGCTGCTAGGCCATGCCACCGGGCCCCCTCTGTGATTTTCTAAAACGTGCTTCTTACACCACATCAGAGCTCTGTGCCCTCTCTCCAACCCAGCACTCATTACTTGGCTTTCGTGTCTCTGTGGCGATTGGTCTCTTTTAGTTTTCATGTAAACAGAACGATTTAATATGTGCCTTTGTCTGGTGACTTGCACTGATGATTTTGAGGTTCATTCGTGTGGCAGCAGATGTCAGATCTTCACTTCCTTTCCTGGCTCAACAATTCTCCATGGTTTGTTTATACATTCATCTGTTGCTGAATATCTGAGACGTCGCCAACTTGAGGGTGTTGTGAGGGATGCTGGATATTCATGTCCGAGTGTAAGAATTTGCTTGGGGACTCGCTTGCAATTTTTTTAAAAAATATATACCTTATACCTATGAATGAAATTGCTGGGGCTTTTGGTAACTCTGTATTTAGCTTTTTAAGGAACTTGCAAGTCCCCACGCCCCCCACCTCCCACCCAGACAGGAGCTGTATCCTCTCCATTCCCACTAACAACATACAAGTATCTTAATTTCTGCTTATCTTTACAATTACCTTCAAGCCCTACTCACAGGATGAGGAAGTAGTTGTGGTTGAGACATTTTCCACTTTCATATTTAAACTCTTTCACCTACAGCCTACGCAGGAGAAGTGACTAGGAGGAAGAATGGATGCTCTGCTGTGATGCAAAGAGAAATTCCACCAACTTTCACATACTGTCATGTGTCACTGCCCTGTCAAGCTCTCTGTCAGTGTTTGCTGCTCAGGGCTCCGGAGACTTCGTGGCTAGTTATTGGCACTGCCCTGCCAGCTGGGGGAGATGAGTGACTGCGAGTTTGGATATGTGCACACACTGGCTGAGGACTACCTGCGGTGCATCCTGAAGATACCTCAGCCTGGACTGGGACCAGGCAAGACATCCAAGGTGCTGCAGAATGTCGCCTTCTCAGTCCAGAAAGAAGTGGAGAAGACTCTGCAGCCGTACCTGGACAGTGTTGATGTTGTGTCTGTAGAGGCTGCAAGGACAATCTTTGACAAAGTGATGGAAAAAGAGTTTGAGGATGGCATTATCAACTGGGGCAGGATTGTGACCATATTCGCTTTCGAAGGGGTCCTTGTCAAGAAGCTTCTACAAAAGCAGATGATTCTGGATGTGGACACTTACAAGCCCATCCCTTATTTTGTGGCTGAGTTCATAACGAAGAACACAGGAGAGTGGATAAAGCAGAATGGAGGCTGGGTATGTGTGATGGAAAGTTTTCTTTGTTGTTGTTTACTGTGATATTGGCTTTGGGAGCTGCCCTGCTGATAATACCAGCACTACCATAAACTGTCCCCCTAAGGGCACTACTTTCCCTGGGTGGTGGTTTTAAAAGATTTTCATGTTTAAAATAGAAAGGAAAAAAACAAAAACAAAAACAAAACAAAAAACCCTCCCTGTCTTAATTCCAATGAATTCTAGAACATCTTAGCTGCAAGATATTCGAGTTTCAGTTTTTATTCCTCACAGTAGTGCTGTGCAGATGCTATCATCTGGTGCTTAGCTTTTCCTGGGCTGGTCATGTGTAGAACTAGTACAGACATAGCTGGTGTGATGTGCTGTTATAACTGGATATTCCTTCAACCTGCAAAAGACAGGTGCAGAGTTTTACGAGAGTTCAGTTGTTACAAAATGATTTTAAGGATTCCACTTCAACAACCTTTGAGCTGTTAAGACTTGTTGATAAGTAATGGATTTTTATCACTGACAAGAGCCTCTATTTAAGAATTTTCCAGCAAGAATTTATTTTCTAATCAGGACCTCCAAAGCTGAATCTGTATAAAGGCCTATACTGGGACTCGTTTTGGTCAGAAACCTTTCACAGATAGATATGCATGCTTTCTTTTATGTCTCAGTAGATTTAATATTTAATTATTTATCTTAAAAGATATATATGTGTGTCTATATATATTTCAAAGGCAAAATGTCAGAGAGATGGGTGGAGACAGAAAGAGGTCTTCCAGCTGCCCAAATGCCCTCAATAGCCAGGGCTGGGTCAGGCCAAAGCCGAAAAGCCCAGAATTTAAGCCGATCTCCCACATGGACAGCAGGGACTCAAACATTTGGGCTGTCATCTACTGTCTCAAAGATACATTAACAGGAAGCCAGATCAGAGGTGGCGGCACTGGGACTCGAACCAGCAATTTGACATGGGATGGATGCAGAGCTGCCAAGTGGCAGCTTGACCCACTGTATTACAATGCCTGGCCTTAATATTTATTTCTTAAAAGCATTTACTTTCTCATCTCACCAACCCCTAATCTGGGATTCATCTCTCCTGAGAGACAACTACTGTTAGCAGTTATCTTCCAAACTCTGTCGACTCTATAGAAAGTAGAGTACTTCTTGACAAAAACAAAACATTTTTTTCCATAAATACAAATAGTACATGCTACTTATTCTGTCATTTTTTTCATTCAAGAGTATATAAAATATGACGGGCATTCAAAAAGGTGGTGTTAAAGGTAGCTTAGTTAGTACGAAAATTCTTTGAAAGCCACATGTACATTTTCTGTCATGTGTTGTTCATGCACTGTCTTGGAGACCTGGGTTTTGCCACTTTCTTTGCCTGTCACTTCTATTTTCTGCAGACAATTTGGAGTCTACATTTAGTGTTTTTAGAATGTCCCATGCATTCTGTCATCTATAAGTGCTAGGGGTTTTCTGGTCATTTATAACTGATGGACATTTAGGTTATTTCCAGATTTTGTGCTCACAAACAGCACTTTGTTGAAGACCTTTACACAGTCTCTCTTCCCTTGCGTGTAGGCGTGTTATTCTTGGGTGGATGTTTGGTTAATAGAATTATTAGATCTTGCCTTCCAGAGTGTCCTGCTTCCAAGGTTCATTTCCATCAGCAGCTTGTCAGAGCAGCCTACACTTCCCCTTATACCAGCTGATTAACATTAGGTTACACTTCACTGGGGGCAGGTGTCCAGCACTGTGATTAAAGATGCCACTCATATTGGAGTAGCTGGGTTCGAGTCTTGAATCCGCTCTCTATTCCAGCTTTCTGTCTGTTTGCATCCTGGAAAGCACTGGGGTGTGGTGTAAGTGGGTTTGTGCCACCTGTGCAGGAGACCTGGACCGAATTCCTGGCTGCTGGCTTCAGCCTGGCCCAGTTACACCTATTATGGGCATTTAAGGAATAAACCAACAGATGAGAGATCTCTGTGCCCTGAGAGAAATATCTGTCTTTCTAACAGATATGTCAAGTTTAAAAAGATTTAAAATATTTAGTTTATTTAGTTTTAATTCCTGTTCCCTTGAGTATTAATAAGGTTAAATAGCTTTTCATGATTCCCGATCATTTGGTTTATTCTTATTTAGGGGTTGCTATCAGTCCTTTGCCCATTTTCCTGTTTATTTTTTCTTAGTGATTTGTAGGGAAATTCTGAATATTCTGCAATTTTATGTATGTGGCAGGTATATTCTAGCCTACAAAGTATCTTTTAAAACCACAGGTTTCTTCAGTCATGAAATGTTTAAAAGTTTGATGCAATCACATTGACTCATCTTTGATGTCTTTTCTATTTGGTTCGAGGTCTTTCTGCACAGTAATAAGCTTGACCGCAGTCACTCCCTGTGCTCAGTCACTTTCTTCTTTCTAAACTCTTAACTCGGACCTGGGTGAAGCCCAGATGCTTGGCTCTGCCTTCTCCTGGCTGGAGGTGGGAAGCCCTGCTGAGGGACTGGTGGAAATTTCAGCTGCTTCATACAGGTATCCAGGGCAGGCAAATGTTCTCTAGCACAGAGGTCCACATAACAATCTGGGGGAAAACCACCAGCTGGAAAGCTCTGTGTGGGCTTGGACTGTGTCCCCAAAGCCTTGGAACACACAGGTGGTGAATGAAAATTACCTAATAGTTCAACAATTTGGTAATCAGTGTTGTGAGCTTCTGGTCCTCATAATTATTGTGGAGTAGAGCACTGTCTTAGGGAATTTCTAGAAATGGACTTCTCCTGTGCAGATGCTCTAGGAGTATGTGTGACCAGCCTTCCTAGGAGAACACCTCTTTAAAGCTGTCATTCTAAGCCACCTCACTGCGTCGTTTCTGCTTCACAGGAGTTGATTGTGTTGATGACAGGTGGTGCTTTTCTGCGAATCCACATGTGCTGGTACAGCAATCTGATAGCTGCTTTTCAAAGTGATGGTGACAGATCTGCAAATGAATGCATTTCCTGTGTGTGTGTGTGTCAGGGGGAGATGCACAGTCACACTTCTATGATGATAGAGAGTCAGGAGACCCACAGAGAGGAAGAGTGGAAGCAGTTGTGGGTGCCCACTTTCCATGTTTTACTCTTCTGAGGAAACTCAAGAAATCAGAAATCATGAGACACCAATCTATAATTAAATTATAAAAGTGCTGAGAGAATTTATGAAAAACTTTGCATCCATACGTGGTATGTGAGTTGAGCACTGGCCTGGCCAGTGGAGATGCTGGTGAGGACGCCCATGTCTCAGATGGAAATATCTGTCCTGACTCTAGGTTCCTGGTGAGGCAGACCCTGGGAGGTGGCAGACCCTGGTGAGGCAGACCCCTCCAACCACCTACGAGAGCTGGAATGAATCCCTAGCTCCTGATTTCAGCCCATTGTTGTAGGCACAGGGGGAGAGAACAAGCAGATGGAAACTCTGTCTCATTGTCTCGAAAAATTGTATATATTTTTATTTTTCTTAAAGGAAAGTGGCATGTAAACACACAGAATGAGAGCACTGACTCTGAACAAAACGGACCCCGAGTTCATTTCCGGGCTCCAGTGTTTGCTATTTGTGTACTTTGAAGAAGTTACTTAACTTCCCCAAGTCTTGTTGTCTTAACTGTAAACCCTAGAGAGGATTGCAATTTATCCCTTGGAACTAGTATAAGAATCTAATCAGTTAATACAAACAAAGCACCTGGAACAGTTCCATCAAATGAACACACAATATGGGTTTGTAGTTATGGTTCCTTTTAGTAAATATTGCCTGGTTTCCCCTGAGAGATTCTGTTTAAAATATATTCTCCATAAGTTAGCGAGTCAATTAGCTAGATATTGATCATCAAGGATGCTGTATTAATGATGACACTGCTTATCTCACTCCTTAGCCACTTTCTTGTTTTCATCTTATTCCTTTCTTCCCTCTCTCCCTCCCTTCCATTTACAGCTGTTCCCTCCTTTTTTAACCTTCCCCCATAGTTACCATTCTCTCTGTCCCTTCTGCCAATTTGAAGTGCGAATAGGATGGGCTCTTCCAAATTTATGAGAATGAACATTTTACATAAATTTCTCATTGGAGGGCTAGAGTTTTTTTTTTTTTATGTCTTTGGCGTGCATCAGAAAATGCTGGTGCCTAAAAGCTCTTCTGAAATGTGCTTGAGGTGGAGCTCATCAGAGACCCAGTGATTGTTCTCTGCTGAGCTAGTTGGGCTTGCCTTTCATTCCCCTCCCCCTGTGCTAGTGGAGTAAAAAGAATAAGGGGTCTTTGGCTGCAGGTAGGAGACAAGGTGTCATCTCAATGCACCACATATTCCCTCAGGCTTAGCACTGACTGAACCTGTGGCACAGAAAGCCCTCAACCCATACTTGTGCATGGAGCAATTGAATCAATTAACATTGAAGCTGGAAATTTGAACCCTGGTCTTCTATTCATTAGAGGCATGGCCTTGGCTAAGTCACTGAAATACCTTGATATTCAGATTCCTTCCATAAAGTGTATAACAAGATGATGTAATATAATAATAATATACATGCATATATAAAACAAATGAAGACAATAGTAGCACAGTTAGAAGGGTTAAAAGATGTTTCTTTTTTTGAAGATTTATGTATTTATTTGAAAGGTAGAGTTACAAAGAGATCTTCTATCCACTGGTTCACTCCCCAGAAGACCACAAATAACAAGGGATGGGCCAGGCAGAATGTGGGAGACTGGAACTCCATCTGCATTTCCCACATGGGTACAGGGGCCCAAGCACTTGTGCCATCTTTGGCTACTTTCTCAGGAGCATTAGCAGGGAACTGGAAGTATAGCAGCCAGGACTCAAATCAGCACCCAAAAGGGATGCCCATGCTACAGGGCATGTCTTAACCTGCTGTGCCACACTGCTGACCCTGAGAAGGCATTTTTGTAGAAATACTTTGTAAACTGGCAAATACTGTGCAACCATGAGAGTTATATGGGGAATTCTAAGAAGTTTAAATATCTATTTCTTAAAACTATTCTAAATCCAAAAAAGAAAGCCCCTTCGAAAGTAGGAAAGTACAGTCAAAGTTGGTGTTTTCCCAGCAACTGTCATATTCAAAATTTTCCTTTCTCCTTGCTCAAAGTAATGGTCTAATTAGTTTGAGGTGACACATGTGGGTGTAGAGATATGCAGATAATGGGCTACAAGGAAAAGCCTGATTCAAATCATGCAGAAATGCAGGCGCTGACCCATGTGATAGAGGAAAACACTGGGTCCTCTGAGTTTTACACAAAAGCTCCCCAAGCTGGAACATCAGCCCTGACCCCTTGCCCTTGTCTATCAGCATGTCCTGTGGGCTACTTTTGACGTAGAGTCTGTCCAGTGCCTCAGTACCTCTCTTCTCTCACTTGACTACACCTGTAGCCTTTGACGAGGTTCCCTGCCTCCATCCTTCATCTGCTATGTATGACCTTTCCTCCATATAACAGCAGGAGTGATATTTTACTGCTTATTTATTTAGTTGTGTAAAAAGTTTGAATTATACTGACTTATTGGAAAGAGAAAAAGTGAGCTTCCATTCGCTTGTTCACTCCCCCAAATGTTCTCAAAAGCTGAGACTGGTCCAGGCAGCGCCAGGAGTGTGAAAATTGATCTGGGTCTCCTGCATGGGTGGCAGGGACCCAAGTGCTTGAGCCATCTCCTGCTGCCTCCTGGGGCACAGGTTGGCAGGAGACTGGAATTGTGAGTGGAGCTGAGACTCAAACCCAGGTACTCCCATACAAAATGCAGGCATCTCAAGTGGTATCTTAACCATGCAGTCACCCCCAGAGTGACAGCTTACAAAGCTGGATTGGATCATGCCCTGGCCCAATCAAAGCACTCCAAGATGCCCTTTCTTTCAAACTCCTGACTGCTGTATTCTGGCCTCGACTGAGCTCTCTGATCTCCTTCTGTAAACCAGCCCTATGCTTTCCCAGCCCCAGCCTGTCAGGACAGGCCCAGCACACTCTGCCCTCACGGCCTTTGCACTTGTTACTGGTGCAGCCTTGACAGTCTCTTCTTCCCTTCAGGTCTCTGTTCTTGTCCTCGGAGAAATCGTCCTTGATTGCCCCATCTCTCTCTCTCCGAGAGCTGGACATCTGCTGATCTGTCTACTGGGTTCTGTGTTTACTAACGGTTGCTGTGATGGGAATGGGAGCTTAGTAAGAGCAGAGACTGTGCTTGGCTCAACGCTGTCCCCATTGCTTCAGATGGAACCTGGCTTGTGGTCAATGCTCACTCAATATTTCCTGAATGAGTAAATGAATGGACACTCTTAAGAGAAGGGAAATAGCAGCATGGTTTTTGCCTACATTGTTAAAGAAAAATCCTGGAATTGTGCTTTTCTTGGGATTATTGATATGATATATGTGTTTATATATTTTCTGCTGCTGCATCAGAGACCATAGACAGGGTCAATTGTAGAGAAAAACTCACTTTATGGAGGCTGCAAGTCCAAGATGAAGGTGAGCTATTCTTCATAGAGTTATTTTGCGATGTTATAGTGGTAGGTTCATCACACGATGAGAGAACAAAGAGGAGTGTGTGTGGGGGAGAGAGAGAGGAGAAAGAGAGAAAGAGAAAGAAAGAAAGAAGGGACTTAGCTTCTTTGTTCAATTATTAACCCACCCTCCCACTCACAGCTTCATCTGCTTCTGAGGGCAATGCCCCCATGGCCTGATTATCTCATAAGACCTTCACAAGGGTAGTAAAAGTTCAACAGGAGTGCTGGAGGGGACATGCAGTTATGGTCATACGGTGTAGCAGTCTATGCCTTAACTTTCTGAAATCATAGTAGCTAAAGTTAACAAACTGTCACCATTTCCAGCAAGAATCACACCTGAACATACCTTATTTCCTACTGCATGCCTAGCAGGATGCTGAATTCAAAAGTACTTCCTTCTGGTCTCCTGTGTGGGTGGCATGGACCCAAACACTGGAACCATCATCTGCTGTCTAATATGGGGCACAGGACCAGGAAGTAGGAATTAGAAGCAGAGTCGGGACTTGAACCCAGGTACTCTGGATATGGAATGTTGGCATCTAAGTGGCATCTTAGATGCCAGCATTCCCATTCACATGATTTTAAATGAAGTTTCTTTGCTTGTTGTTCTGGTGCATTTAGCCTCCACTCATTCTAAAACTGTCAAATTTATTCTTTTCTAGGAAAATGGATTTGCCAAGAAATTTGAACAACCTAAATCTGGTTGGCTGATTCTTCTGGAAATTACAAGACAAATCGGCTCGATGGTGTTGCTCTTGAGGAAGTACTGCTGATCTGGGGGACACCCTGTACTGGGACGTCTGCCTGAGCTCTCTGACCCTTGTGAGAGCTCTCGCTGGCATGAAGGCTTCCACTTCTAAACAAACAATTTTAGTGAAGCAACTTCAGTTGCTCTCATTAATGGGACATTTATGCCCGGTGCAATACATACATACATAATTGTATTTATGCATAAGTTGTTTCTTAGCTTTCTCGATCTGTCCAAAAATTGTGCAAAAAAGCCTAAAGCTTGATACAGGAAGTAAGTATCAAACTACAGGCTGCTAACCAGGAAGGCAGCATCTCCAGGGTATGGCTACGACCCCACAGTCATTCAGTGTGTCACTGGGCCTAAGACTGCATAGCGGGGAAGGGCTACTGAAATGCACTCTGTGGGGAGCAGCAGGTCACAGCTCAAGGAGCTGGTTGTCTGCTGTACCCACAGGAGATCCCATATTGAATACCTGACTTCTGGCTTTGTTCTGGCCGAACCTTGGCTGATGGGGCCATCTGGGGAATGAACCAGTTCATGGGAGCTGTCTCTGTGTCTATCTCACAGTCCTTCAAAGAAAATGAGAACAAATAAAATTTTTTTAAAAAAAAAATTGTCCAGACCATCTTTTCTCCAAGGCAGTCATAAAACTGGAAAATATTACTCTAACTTCCTCTGACCTTTCTATGTAACAGTCAGCCATAAAGAAATTCTCTGACTAGTTGGTTCGACTTCTGACTATGTGGTTTGACTTTAGGCCATAAGACCCCCCACATCTCGTTGTGGGTTTAATGAATCTATTTTTTTTAAATAAAGGCTTTTATGAACCTCAGCTCTATCTCATGCTACAGACAAAAATTAAAACAGATCACAGATCTAAATACCACAAGTATACAACCTCTAGAAAAAACTACAGAAGCAAATTTTCATAACCTTAGAATAGGGAAAAATTTAAATGGAAGAACACAAAAAGGGGCCAATGTGGTGAAGCAGGTTGAGCTCCCCATAAAGCGTGAACCCACAGTGGAGTGCCGGTTTGAGTCATAATTGCCCAGCCAGCTCTTTGCTCATACACCTGCAAAAGCAACAACAGAAGATGACACAGTACGTACGACTCTGCTACCCATGTGGGAGACCCAGGTGGTGTTCCAGGCTCCTGGCTTCAGCCTGGCCCAGCTTATACATTTGGCCATTTGGGGAGTCAACTAGCAGATGCAAGCTCTCTTCCCCTACTCCCTCAAGAGAAAATAAATAAATCTTTTAAGAAAAATAAAAGAACATGAAAAGCCTGAACTAGAAAAAAAAATCTTGGTTATTTATGACTCATCAAAACTGTAAAAGCCAACTCTTGAAACCACACCATTAACAGGTCAATAGGAAGGGGAGGGGTGCAACATTGTGGTACATGGGGTCAAGCCACTTAAGCTACTGGCATTGCACACTGGAGCACTGCTTTCGGTCTCCCTTGCTTTGCTTCCCATCAAGCTCCCTCCTGATTCACCTGAGAAGGCAGCAGAAGATGGCCCCAATACCAGAGTCCTTGCCAACTACATGGGAGATTCAACTAGGCTCCTGAGCTCCTGACTTCCACCTGGCCCAGCCCTGGCCACTGTGGCCATCTGCAGAGTCAATCAGCACCTGGGAGACTTGCTTCTCTGTCTCTTTACCTTTCTGATAACTAAAGTCTTAAATTAAAAAAAAAACCCTCAAAGGAAGAGCTTAGAATTATACTTCAATATAGCCAGGAAGCCAAAACCAAAAAGCAGTGGCCATAGACACAATGCGAGATAATATATACCACACTAATATGCAGGATTTGGATCCAGAATATCTACAGTACTCCTAAAATTCAATGACAAGATGACTATTAACCTACTTATTTATTTATTTATTTGGAACGTGATTTTTTTTTTTTAAAAAAAAAAAAAAACGATTTATTTATTTTTATTGCAAAGTCAGATAACCAGAGAGGAGGAGAGACAGAGAAGATCTTCTGTCTGATGATTCACTCCTCAAGTGACTCCGGTGCTATGCTGATCCAAAGCCAGGATCCAGGAACTTTCTCCAGGTTTCCCATGCGGGTACAGGGTCCCAAGGCGTTGGGTTGTCCTTGACTGCTTTCCCAGGTCACAAGTAGGGAGCTGGATGGGAAGTGGAGCTGCTGGGATTAGACCTGGCGCCCATATGGGATCCTGGTGTATTCAAGGTGAGGACTTTAGCCACTAGGCCACCGCTTTTAAATGGGTAAGAACTTTAGTATTAAAGAGCCCTCCAAATGGCCATAGACATGGAAAAGAGGCTCAACCCCAGTCACTGTTGTTGGAAAAACTCACATTCCAACAATGAGGAAAGACCACAGCACAGCCACCAGAAGGGTAATGTGAAGCAGCCCGCTGCTACAAAGCTCCATGTAAAGTGCATGGGACTCTCTTATTTTATTCACATTTATTTATTTTGAAAGAGTTTTACACACACACACACACACACACACAGATCATTCATTAGTTCCTGGATGACTATAGTGGCCATTGCTGAGCCAGGCTGAAGCTAGGAGCCAGAAGCTTCAACTAGTCTTCCATGTGGGTGGCAAGGGTCCAAGAACTTGGGTTATCTTCTGCTGTTTTCCCCAGGTCACTAGCAGGGAGGTGGATTGGAAGTAGAGCCTCTGGAACATAAATTGGTGCCCATTTGAGATGGTGGTGTTGCAGGCTGCAGCTTTACTAAACTACTGTGCCACAACACTGCTCTCAGAACTAGTAATGTGATAAAATTGTACAGTTACTGTAGAGATTTCTTATAAACATGCTCCTGTAAGATCTGGAAATTCCACTCCTAGGAACTAACCCACAAGGAAAGGAAAGCATCTGTTTATACTTTTAGTGAAGAGTAACTCCATTATTGGTCCTGAAGAGGGACAAAACCCCATCATTTTGGAGCTGGTGCCATTTTGCATACCTTCTTCCGCTAGGTCTTGGGCTCCTTCCTGTGATTCAGGTTTGCAAACTTCACACCCTTTAGTTCAAGTTTGGTTGTCCGCCAATCCACTGTACTCTCACGCCAACGTACCTGACAGACCTATCCACCAACCCTTTCTGTCTCGTCCACAGCCCTCTCTGCGAATCCCTCACGGCCCCGGGCTCCCAATTCTCTCGCTCTGGTAACAAAAGCAGGTTCCTGTGTGCCTTTTTTGCCTCCACTCACATCTGCAGCCATCTTCCTGGCTGGATAAAACCTGCGGGACTCGCTGATCTTATGTTTCTGGTTTGTGGTGACAAACTAAAAAGGGCTAACATGGGCCCGGCGCGGTGGCGCAGTGGTTAAGGTCCTCGCCTTGCACGCCTGGGATTCCATATGGGCGCCGGTTCTAATCCCAGTGACCCCGCTTCCCATCCAGCTCCCTGCCTGTGGCCCGGGAAAGCAGTCGAGGACAGCCCAAAGCTTTGAGAACCTGCACCTGAAGAGGCTCCTGGCTTCGGATCAGCATAGCATCGGCCGTTGCGCTCACTTGGGGAGTGAATCATCGGACGGAAGATCTTCCTCTCTGGTTCTCCTCTCTGTATATCTGCCTTTCCAATAAAAATAATTATCCATATAATTATCCATATAATGGATAATCCGGTCATGAAAAGAGGTGCAATCCTAGTAGAAGCAATGGAATGGACACATTTCCCTAACGTGAGGTTCAGTGAAGAAGAGCGTCACAAAACAATATCCAGTATATATTAGCATTGATGTGAACTTGTGCAAAACACAGACTTATCATAGTGCTCTGATGGCAGGAAGCACACCAGTTGCTGCTGTGCTGGGGCTGTGGGGTTGACTTCCCAGTGTAATAAAATGTTCTGTGTCTTTGTGGCCATTATGTGTACACAGAAATTTGTCAGAACATCTGGAGATGGATGTTTACAATGGGTACATTTCACTGTAGAGAAATAGAATCTCAGTGATATTTAGAGAAACATTTTGTGAAAAATAATGAATGTTCTTTAAACAAACAAACAAAAGAACATGAAAGCCAAGCAGAATGCTATTGGTGCTGTGAATAAAACCAGCAAATGCTATGAAGTCATGCCACTGTCAGTGTGAGTTAAACCTCACTGACTGTCTTCTAGGCCCTCGTTGTGTGGGTTGGGTTCCTGTGTGTCAGCTGGCATCCCTTCTCTGGGCTGCAGGATTTTCTGCTGAGTGTCTTGTCCCTTCCTCCTGGACACTCTCCTGCCTCCTTGCTTGCCTACTGCTCATTTGTTCTTTGAATTTCAGTGTGAAGTTCATACAGGAATGCCTCCTCTGGCTAGAGTGCATTCCACTGTGGTCTGTGAAAACATTATTAACCCAGTTACAGCATTATAGACATGTGATTTAGAAACCAATGCATCAGAAGCTGAATTCCATGAGGGCAGGAAGTAAGGTTGCTTGGGTTTACAGTTTTATCCCAGAGCCTACGTGAGGAGCCCAAAACATGGAGCACACTGGCCTTGGGTCAGTAACAGTGAAGCCTGGGAGAAGCCATCCATCATATTCTCAGGAATGGCATGGAAGACAGTGAGTGCTTTTGGCTGGCTGATTTTGATGAGCTAAGAACTCTTGCTACGGAAGTTCTATCATCTTTATGACAGCCCTCTGGGTTCCCATTTGATCTTTAGAGAAAGAGGCTTAGCAGCGGTAAGAAACTCACTCCATGTCAGAGTGAGGAGACAGGATCAGAAGTAGCAGGGGACCTCCCAGTGGACTCCAGAGCAGGTGCTGGGCCTCCTTTGGATGCCACTCCCCTTCTCTGAGAACTCAGCATTCCACCCATCTCTCTTCTAACTGGGAAAAAAAAAAATGAGTGCGGCCTTGGGCAGGCAGCTAGGCAGCTTCACTCTCCACCCTTTCATGTGTTGTTAGAGTGTGGGTAAAATGCTATTATTGGGCAGTGTGAGGTTCCTTTGTGTAGAGAAAACTACAACTTTGCTAGCCAGGAGGCGCCTGGACTTTGGGAGGATTCCGCTTTAGTGATAAATCTGTCCTTTGCTGACCTGCAACTTTGTGAACCCAGGTGCAGGAGGACAAGGGCACAATTCTTCTCCGGTCCCAAGAACAGGAGGAAGATAAGGGTTTGAGAATGGGATGAGCCATATAGATAATGGGTATGGGAACAGAACAGGCTGCCTGTGCCTGAAGGCCATAGAAATGAACATGTCTAAGGTTGTTACTTTTGATGTATTTCCCAGCCCAAAAGGGCCTATATAAGCTTCTGTCTTGGGCTGTTCAGGGTCTGACTGCCCTGCTTGGCTGGCCTGTGTGCCCCAAGTGTGGTCTGGCCCCAGCATGCTGGCGCAATAAACTCTGTTTGCTGTTTGCATTACCAGCGAGACTCTTTGTTGTTCTCTGGGGGTTGACTAGCTCGCACCCTTGACGTCTGGGGGCTTTAGTCCGGACTCTAACATTTGTAGGCCCCCCTCTCCCGCAACAGAAGATGGCCCCCATGAGTGCTAATATTCTGGACCTGGAAACTCTCTGCAGCAGATGCCAAGTGGCCTGACAGGAAGGTGTCAGGAAATGTTTAGGAAATGTTCATCCCTGAATTCCTAAAACCCTGCAGAACATGGAAGTCCAATAAGCCTTCCTTTA